TTAGAAAATAAATCAAGATTTGAAATTTTGATTTTTTTACTATATTGTTTCTCTAAATATATGTAATATATATAAATATAGTATTTAATAAAGATCATAACCATCTTGATTGTGGCAATATGGAAGTTTACATTTTGAAACTTAAGTCTCTTGCATTTTAATATCAAATTAGAATATATATTATGTTAAGATTTGAAATTATTACATTATATAAAAAAATATATCTGACATCTTTAAAAAAATTGATTTGAAAAATTAATCAAAAAGATTTAGTGAAATAAAGAGTATTAATATGTACATTAAGTATATAGATAATATATTGATCATAATAATATATAAATAATATAATATAATATAATATAAATAATGTAAAAAATAAAAAGCTAAAAATTTGTTTCTGAAAATTTATGACTTTTTTTAAAAACTAGATTTTTACAGAATAAAATATCCTGAATCTGTCACAAAAATAGATAAATTTTTTTTAAATTATCAAATTTTCTTTTTTATCTCTAATGAAAGTTTGATAATATTTAACATGATTAATAAATTACAAAAAAAGATTCTTAAAATTCCATTTGAATATAAAAGACTTTTTTTATTTATTTCATATGTGTACATTACATTATTTTTTCGTAAATCATTTTTTCCGAAATAATATATAAACTTTTTTTTAAGAAAAAATTATAATTTTAGGATAAAATTAGAATTGTTTTATTAATATTATATACCTTTTTTGATCATATTTTTAATATAATAGGTACCTCTCATGTTAAAATTATATTTTCAACGTTTTTTTCAAGAAATTGTAGAATAATGCATATTTTTTTGAAATAATTTTTTCTACAAAATATGATTTTCACTAAAAATCATAATATATGAATATTTTTTTTAGAAATATTTTTTTGCATAATTTTGTAGAAATCATTAAAGAATGTACGGTTAATATTAGTGAAAGTCAGAGAAATTCATATCTATTGAACAGTAATTCTAAGAAAGAAAGATAATATAATTAAAAATATTTAAATTATCTGTATTTGTCTAGTTATAATTTCTAATTATAACTTTATAATTATAACTTTCTGAGAAATTTTTAATATTTTTTAGAGATAAGAAAAATATTACAGAAATAAATGAGAAAATAAATAAATAGTCTTAGTTAATCGTAGTTTTTTTATTTTTATAAGATATATTTTTCTGATATTTCCCATTTTTCTCTAAAAAGTGTTTCAGTTTATACATTTTTTCATAATTTAAAAAAAAATTTCAGGAAAATATTTTCTTGAAATTACAATCAATTACAATCAATCTTGAAATTACAATAAAAACTCTTGTGGCTGTAATAATATAGAGAGATTTGATATCAAAGAAGATTCAGAATTTCTTCGCGGAATTTTCGCACGGATATCGGAAAACTAGCGACATCTCTCGTTAGCCATCATTACCTTCTAATCGCATTTCTACGAATTTTACACATATGACACGTATACCGTTTTTCTCGATGTAAATGTCAGTAAATCTTGACGGATCAATTATTAGCGTGTGTTTATCTCAGCCATAATTTTAGGTACGTGGGCAATTTATATCTCATAAATAGCTCGTATTAGGTAGTGGTTTGCAGCATTGCTAATACACAATATATTAGGACATCTTGTAGATACATAACCTCACAAATCGTTTCCTTTCACTTCATGCATCGCGGATTATGTTATTTATAACTTCATTTAATGCTCATGCTCTTTTTCTTAGATTGTAAGAAAGCTTCCTAATTGATACGGTACCATAAAAAGCTGAGAAAATGAGCACGATAACAGAGCAACCGTGTTACACACTAATAAACATTCCAACCGATACCGAACCGCTAAACGAACTTCAACTGAAGCATGATCTCGAGAAGGGAAATGTCCAGACAAAGATCGACGCACTCAAAAAGACAATTCACATGATATTGAGCGGTGAACGATTGCCAGGACTCTTAATGACAATCATTAGGTTTGTCCTACCACTGCAGAATCATACCATCAAGAAGCTGCTGCTGATATTTTGGGAGATTGTGCCAAAAACCTCTGCTGATGGCAAGCTCTTGCAGGAGATGATTTTAGTGTGTGATGCGTATAGGAAAGATTTACAACATCCTAATGAATTTGTCAGAGGATCTACTCTCAGGTATGGATGTAGTACAATTGTATATAGTGAATATGCAAGTTATGTGAATAATATTATATGTAATAATTAATACATTTGTAGATTCTTGTGTAAATTAAAAGAACCAGAACTTTTGGAACCATTAATGCCAGCGATAACTGGTTGTTTGGAGCACAGACATTCCTATGTCAGACGCAATGCAGTTCTTGCTATTTTTACCATCTATAGAAATTTTGAATTTCTCATACCAGATGCTCCAGATTTGATAGCGAAGTATCTGGAAGGGGAACAAGATATGTCCTGTAGAAGAAATGCTTTCTTGATGTTGCTACATGCCGATCAGAGTAAAGCTCTTGCTTATTTAGCCGCATGTCTTGATCAAGTACCAAGTTTTGGTGACATATTACAGTTGGTCATCGTTGAATTGATATATAAGGTATGAATAAATATGCTGCACAGTTCATCTCAGAATTTACACTTATATAATATAATTCTTTGCTAGAAGAAATAACTCTTTTCTCTGAGTTGTATTTTTTAAACGAATAATTAGAAATTATGAATGAGAATTTTAAAAATGATTTAAAACTATTGCTTGAACAATTTTACTCAAAGAAAAAGTTGCTTTTGACACAATAAATCGCATTTTTTATTGCATTTTGTATGGGTGATTTCTAAGGCATATTAATGCATTAGTTTGTATTATTGCTATTTTAATTTTCTTTTTTATAGGTTTGTCTTGCAAATCCATCAGAAAGGGCGCGTTTTATCAGATGTATTTACAGTTTGTTAAATTCACCTAGCGCCGCAGTACGTTATGAAGCGGCTGGCACTTTAGTGACTCTTTCTAGTGCACCAACCGCGATCAGAGCTGCGGCTACTTGCTATATTGACTTGGTTGTCAAAGAGAGTGACAACAATGTCAAACTTATTGTACTGGATCGGCTAATTGCAATGAAGGATAGTCCTGTATATGAAAGAGTTCTTCAAGATCTTGTAATGGATATACTTCGTGTTTTAGGTATTGTATTGATTACAACAGTGAGAGAAATTTGTTGATACATATTACTATTATTTATTTTGCACAGGATCACCAGCCTTGGAAGTCAGGACAAAAACTTTAGCTTTGGCTATGGATTTGGTAACAACTCGTACGATTGAGGAAATGGTTCAGCTTTTGAAGAAGGAAGTCCTTAGGACAGCCGGTGGAGAACACGAAGATGCCGGCAGATATCGCCAGCTCTTGGTACGGACTCTTCATGCTTGTTCCATGAAATTCGCGGACGTTGCTGTTACCGTCATTCCAGTGTTGACAGATTTTCTATCGGAAAATAATGAAGCAGCCGCTACAGATGTTCTCGTATTTGTTCGTGAAGCCATTCAAAGATTTGAGAATCTCAGACCGCTAATTGTGGAGAAACTGTTAGAGGTGCGTACGCAATAGTGCATTATTAAAAATGAGATTAGCAACATTAACGGAAACTAATTTTTATTTTGATGAATTAGGTATTTCCTCACATACGATCTGTAAAAGTACACAGAGCTGCACTCTGGATTCTCGGAGAATACGCAACATCGAAAGAGGATATAGAAGCTGTAATGAGCCGTATTCGAGCGGCATTAGGCGAGTTGCCATTGCTTGAAACAGAAAACAAACGTCAAGCTGGCGAAAAGTCCGAGGATGCAAACTCACAAGCTGCACCTGCACTTGTCACGTCTGATGGTACTTACGCGACTCAAAGTGCTTTCAGTGCTGCGTCTGCACGTGAGTAATTGTTTTTACATAAATATATATAATATTTTAAATTTATGCGCGTGTTGTTATAAACGTTTAATTAATCAATAGGGAAAAAAGAAGAGAAACGACCGGCATTAGTGCAATATATGATGGAGGGCGATTTCTTCATTGGCGCGTCCTTGGCTACCACATTGGCAAAATTAGCCCTCCGTTACAAAATGCTTGAAACTAATATTCAAAAGAGCAACAGATTGCAAGCGGAAGCAATGTTTGTAATGTCTAGTGTGCTGCAACTAGGCCGTTCAGGTCTTCCCATAAAAGCAATGACACATGATGACGCGGAGAGAATCTCTTTGTGCCTCAGATCCCTTGCTTGTCCAACGCCTCTTGTACAGAAAGTTTTCACTGAGGGATGCCGCGATGCACTCGGCAGAATGTTGACGGCGAAAGCGGAGGAGGATTCGCAAAATCAAAAAGCCAAGGAGAAGCCAGGCAGTATCGTTCAAGTCGATGACGCAATTCAGTTCTTACAATTAAGTCGGGGATCTGATCTAGCTGGTGGTGCCGGTGACATGTTCGAGCAAAGTCTTAGTGCAGCTGTAGCAGGGCGACCCGGCGCTAGCGGAGATGCTCCGAGTGCCTTGAGTAAAGTCATTCAACTTACCGGATTCTCAGATCCAGTTTACGCGGAGGCTTTGGTACATGTTAATCAGTACGACATCGTACTCGACGTGCTGATAGTCAATCAAACGGAAGACACTCTGCAGAATTGTACTTTGGAACTGGCCACTATGGGAGATTTGAAGCTAGTGGAAAGACCACAACCTATCGTACTCGCGCCCAGAGATTTCGCCACTATCAAAGCAAATGTGAAAGTTGCATCTACAGAGAATGGAATTATCTTTGGAAATATTGGTAAGTGATTTAGATACTTTTGAGATATTGTAACATATTGTTAGAATTGTTAGAATTTCGGAAGATAAAAATAATATGTTTTTGCTTATCTACAGTTTATGACGTATCAGGAGCAGGTTCTGATAGAAGTGTAGTTGTTCTTAATGATATACACATTGATATTATGGATTATATAGTACCAGCAACATGTACCGATGCAGAATTCCGTCAAATGTGGGCCGAATTTGAATGGGAGAATAAAGTCTCAGTCAATACAACTTTGTCTGATTTAAGAGAATATCTTGCACATTTGTTAAAGTCCACAAATATGCGTTGTCTTACACCGGAAAAAGTATATTCAGTTCTTTTATTAAGACAAATTTCCCATCTTAAGATAATGTTATAAATATTGTTCTTCCCACAGGCTCTGTCGGGACAATGTGGATTTATGGCAGCAAATATGTATGCTAAATCAATATTTGGCGAGGATGCATTGGCAAATTTATCCATCGAGAAACCATTGAACAAACCTGATGCGCCAGTGGTTGGTCATATTCGTATCAGAGCCAAGAGCCAAGGAATGGCTCTATCCTTGGGCGATAAAATTAATTCGGCGCAAAAAGGTCCGCAGACTAAAGTCGTGCAAGCTGCTTGAATTGCGTTATTTCGGTCAAAATCTACTCCGTACAATCGAGTCTCTTGGAATGAAATGAATATTTTTATGGGATTATAAAACCTCGAAGATTATTATTAAATGATTTTTATATATTTATGGCATTTATACTGCGTTATTCAGACAACAAAAATGTCCGTTTATAAATATTTTTTTAGCTTTGTGTATTATTTGTCAATCGAAATGCATTGGATGTATTCATAAACATATCTGTGGACGTATTTATATGGATCACAGTAATAAGATACGCATATCGATATATTGCCGTATTAATTTGCATATTTAAATATATTTCCTGCCAACTCATAAACATGCAATTAACATTGTGCACGAGGATAGGATGTATTTATAGACAAAAAATAAATATATGCAGTATCTCTTTCTTTTATTTCTCTTTAAATATAATTATGTAGAATGTTTATAATAACTCTGTATCTTTTTAAATAAAGTAACTCGGTGAAGATGCTTTTACAATTTCTGTAAACTTTCTAAAATCAAGTTTTTATGTTGTTATTTTAAAACTTTGAGGAAGATTTGAAATTACATCTTTAAACTTTTATCGACATATGAAATATAAAAAAGAAAAATTATGAAAATTAAAAAAATATAAATTTTTATATTAACTATAATTATAAAAATATTATAGATATCCTTTCAAATTGATTAAACTCTTTTGTCATCCTGTTTTAAAGCCATCCTCCTCTCGATGGTTTACTGCGCGGTGTAATGCCTACGAGTTTTTCTCGGTCATCACTATCCGAACTCGTAACCGTTAACGATGGGATAATACTTGGAAGTTTAGGACTGTATGAAACTTTTGGCCGTGCCCTGATCGAACTGCTTCCATCTTTAATAGTCGAAGGTATATCCATGGATGCGACGGCAGGTCTGCTTTGATTCTCCATGGAAGAGCTAGAAGTTTTCGTAATAACAGAAGTAGTAGCAGTAGATTTCGCAGTAGTAGAAGTAGCAATAGGTTTGGCAGTATTAGTCATAGTAGTAGAAGTAGCAATAGTAGTAGTAGTAGTAATAGTAGTAGTAGTAGTGATAGTAGTTGCAGTAGTAATAGTAGCGCTGGGTTTGATATCAGTAGAAGAAGTAGTAGAGATAGTAGCAGTCTTCATAGTGGCAGAAGTAGTAATTACGGGTGTTGTAGTATTCGTAGTAACGGACATTGTACTGATTGGCAAAGTAGTGTTATCGATAATCGAGGATTGAGTAGATTGAGTAGTAGATTGAGCAGATGTTGACGATTGCACTAGAGAAATAATAAGATGTTATTAGCAACAAATATTAAATAAAGAAAAACAAATCATAATTCTATTTAATTAAATATTAAACACTCTGTAGTTAAATATAACAACATAATTTTTAAATAGAATGTTTTTAACTGAGTACTTTTCTTTTTAAAATAATTTTTAAAATAAATAGGATAAATATAGAATATCTATAAATTTTTTATTGAAATATTGTGAGAAAGTTAAATAGTTGTGATTAAGTACCAGGTTGAAGAGGTGCTTTCCTCTTGATTACTCGTGGTGGCGATGAACGAAGCGGTAATAAGGGTGCAGTGGCTTTCGTCACTTCATCAACGAAATCTACCGAGGATCTAGTCTGTATAGTAAGACAACTATGTCACTAGGCGGTTTTAAATCTTAATAAATAATAATAATAATCAACAACAAGAAACATGGCCAATTCTTCGGCAAGCAGGATCTTGGTTGCTAAATCTTTTATATATAAAATAAATTCAAATAATTATATTACCAACTACGTGCCACTTAGTTTAGCAGACTTTCAACGTAATGCTTCTATAATAATTCGACAATCAAACATCTTGATGTCAATTAAAATAATAATAATAATAATAATAATAATAATAATAATAATAATAATAAATAATTTTAATAATAATAATCTAACATTATACTTATAGATTTGGGGGATTACTCAGAATCAATTTTGCTTTTAAGAGAAATTATTTAGGGAAATTAAATTATTTTATATTTGTCAGAGTGTTCTTATACGTGCCGTTAATTATTAATTTATAGCACCTGTAAAATTGACTCAATTGACGGTTGAGCTCCAACACCATTTCTAATTGGCTCCGAAGGTCTGTCTTTTTTAAATCCAGATGTCTTTGTATCGTCTTTGTCGGTCTCAACAATTTCGTGCAGAACATGAAGTATCGTCGCCGCGGTAGTTTCCGGCAATTCGACTGGTACAACTGCTGGCAACGGGCTCCTCTGTGCCAGGCGTTTCGCCTCCTCCATAGCTCTCTTTAAACTCTGCTGACTCTGCAGTGACGCCTTGCTGCAGCTTTTGCCGATTTGAGAGCTTTTAACTGCGTTTTTCACGACCTATATATAAAATTGCAACGAGAGAAATCAATTTAATTACCATCTTATTTTTCATGGAATAACAAATAGAGAGATCTCTCGTACTTGACGCCAACGATGTTCGGCCGATGTTAATACGGCTAATCTGGCGATTCTTTTCCATCTCTCGATATTGCTCTCGTCTTCGCGTGCTTCGTGAAGAGCTGTCTCTTCTTGCAGATCAACTTCACCTGGATTTACCGGACCTGCCACTTGGAAGTCTTTCATGAGTCTTCTTTCCCAGATCTTCATCTTCTTACCCAGTACAGCTAGACAATTTCGAGACAACAGTGAGAGTTTTGAATCTTTGATAATTTTAAATCCTCGATAAGCTTAAGCTTTGCTTTAGATTTATCTCTCGTTTGAAATTTTAAGTGAAAGAAGTGCCAGTGTTTTCATGAAAATGCTTACTTTTTTCCTTTTTGTCGACGTCACCGATGTCCATGCCGTTTCTATGCAGGATATCCAGAAGTTCGCATCTCCAGGACGACAAGTCGGTCTTGAGCTCGTGGACGTCGTCTTCGGTGACAGGTTCCATTTCGTGCTCGCTATGCGCATTGACAACGTAGCGCCATATCAAAGCTCTCATGACTGCTCCGTATCTACATAATTCAGATAACAGGAAGATATGTATATTTAATTATCACATCATTACTATCTTATTGTCTGCATGTCAACAATTAATATATCAACACCTAGTATTGACCATTTAAATATTATAAATAAACTGTGTGTTAAATATTTTAATAAAATATAATCCCAATGACTCTTGTAAAAATTGAAGAAAAATAAATAAAATTAAACGGCTAAGAGTCAACGCTGTGGATGTAGTGCGAAATTTGTTTTGAAAAGAGAGCTTAATTAAATATTTTACTTATTATCTCGTTATCGGATCAAACACTTTGTAAAGATATCTCACTTGTATTCGCGTGCACGTCGACGTTGACTGCAGCGTCTACCGATAGTTTTCTTCCGCAGGCCGAACAATCGGAAAAGCAATTTTGGCGGCGGGAAGATATTGAAGGGCGGTGGAAGGGTTCCGCTGTCCTCGAAGTAACTCATCCATAACTTCGTTCTTGCGAATTTCCACTCCGTGTCGGAATGTTCCTGTCGCATCAATGCCTCTGTTGACGAGATCATTCAGATCGACGAATATCGTTGGAGTCGGAGTCTTACCTCAATAACGGCATAGCTGTTGCTCATCATAGCTATCAATAAATTTAGCAGGACAATCACGTTGATCACGGAATACGATCCGAACATCAACAGGCCCCAGAATCGAGTGTACGACTTGATTCCTGAAAATAATAACGTTGGCATCTAGAAAATAATAACGTTGGGATTCTATCGATGACAAGGCGTCAGTTTTGATAAAGAGGAAAAAAGGAGGAAGGAGGAATAATTTTCACATGTAAATTATACATGTGAACATACCGGTGAGTTCGAAGCTTTCAATGCCGACCATACCGAAACTGGCCCAGAAGAGACTCTGACACGATTCAAACAGATTGCTGAATCTGGAAAGAATTTTACGAGAAATATATTAGAAATATTTGCAGACTATTTTACGCCGCTGTTAAAGAAATCTAATTAAAAATGACATTAAATGATATATTAAAAAATTACACTCAATCTTTTATTCTTTCAATTTTCTGTAAAAAAAAATATACGTGTCCCATACAGAATGTATCTATTATACGTCTGAAAGTTGAGGTTTTCATAAATAATTTAATTTTTATTCAACATTACAGAATTATTAGAAAGGAATACGAAGTCTGTTATTTATTTCATGATTATTAGGCGTACACACACTTGAGGAGTATGGCTTGAAAGGAAGGATACAGACACGTCTCTCATCCACGCCGCGCAATTCGATTATTCTATTCACCTTCTCCATCTTAAGCAGGCATCACTGCCGGCGTCCCACGAGGGATCCAACATTCCGCTGTAACATTTCTGCCTCTCCAGCTCCGCAAAATACCACAGTAACTGGTTCAAGCCGCAGGCGAAGGCAAATAACACTAAGGTATAGATGAAAAAGAACTTCACGATGTCGATTACCATCCTGCCCAATGATATCTAAAATAGAAATTCGCAATCTTTGAAGTAAAATATACCATAGGAAAAAAAAATATATATATATTAATATTATAAGAATTCCATATTTACATATTAAACTAAAAAAATTAAATTTCAAAAATCAAGTTCAGTTAAATGCAAAGGAATTTTTAAAGAAAAATTCTTGACGCACAATCAAAAGCGATAAAATGTAGCGAAATTTTTGACGTGATACCTGAAGCGGCCCCAGATGCGGATTGATGCTGAAAAGATGAACGAGTTTCAAGGCGCTGAAGACATTCGCAGCTGCGAAAAGACCCTCCGCGATCAGCTGTGAATCGAAGTCACCCCAATTCTCTCTCGGTATCAGCGCGGCGGATGGATCCGTTCGTATTTCGGCGCGCTGCTGAAGATAAGCCGCCAGTCTGAGAACGCCGGTCGCCAAATAGAGTGTGTTTCTGGTAAAGTCGATAAAGTTCCACATATCCCGTAAATATCCCTTCAAGCCATCCACGTAAACCTGCCCGAGATTTTTTGCAAAATCACACAGCTTAGAAAATATAAAAAGATATAAAGAAATGTATTTAAGAAAAAACATTACATTGGCTTGTGTCGTTTCGCATACCTCTCTCGTTTCCTCCCATACGAATCCAAAAACATATAGCACGACAATACCTTCCAAAGGAGTCGGGGCCGCGCCTCTTTGCCGAGCCAAGTAAGCCTCTAGGTTTCTTTTCATTTCCTGAGTGCCCAGGAGTCGAACGATTTCCACTTCCGCACGCTGAGACACCAGCATGAGTACAACTATATAAACAAGTTTGCCATAGCGTTAGTCGTTAATTAGATAATGGCGCTGATTTATTCCTTCAAGATTTATCACTTTCATTTATTACCTCAAGACTCAATTTTTTGACTCAATTTTTCTTTTTTTTTCTTTTTTTTTTTATTAATCAACATTTCGAGGCTAGAAGAGAACTTACACAAGAAGAATAAGTAAGATGACGCATGAACTAAGAATTTCATGAAAGGTCTTCGCATAAGTCGCCCAATCTTTGACTCTGGCATCAGATAGTATACGATACAATAGAATGGGAATAGAAGTGCCGTCTTTGCAAGAATGCCGACTCTCTGCAAAGTTGACATTCTTCGGAATCCGGGAACTCCTTCGTACCTTTAAATGGTATAAAAATATCTCGGAGTTCTTTTTTGAGATCGCTGTTTCTCGAGCCAACAAATCACCTTTAGATAGACTCTTTCATTTACCATATTGCTGCCAAAAGTTGCTGGACGTGAGAATGCGAGACAAATCTCTTTTGCTTATATTGAATAGCCTGCTCCAGTCGAGCTAGTTGTTTGCTGAGTTCGGCATTCTCTTCCTCGGGATCATAATTTAGAATGGTGTCTAGTTCCGTGGTAGTTCGGACGTGTTGCAACAAATCAACAGCGAATCTATTTACAATTATTGATTATAGTTATTTATCAAGTCACCATATATATATATATATATATATA